GGAGCAACCTGGGCTGGTGGAAGGTGTCCCTGCCCATGGCAGGGGTGGCACTGGATGGGCTTTAAGGTCCCTTCCAACTCAAACCATTCTGGGGTTCATTCTATGACTCCTGTTGAATCTGAGCTTCAGCAGTGATAGTTCATGCTCTCCCTGGAAGCTGTGGCTGCTTGTGAACGTGCTGTGCCTTGTTCACCTGCTCTGAAGGGCTTATGTAACCACTGAGGGATCAGTCACACACACCAGGAGCCCCAGTCCTGCTCCCCCACAAAAGAAGGGGAGTTGTGCTTCCATAAATGATGTGGACAAATATAAACCCCTCATTTTATGATGTCTAGCAGCCCTTGTGCATCCAGCCTGCACTGCATCCTTGACATCAGTGCTGATTTATGAATTCCTGCCATGTCTGTGGCTTAAACCCTTTTGCAGCGTTACAGCAGCAGAGCTCTCCTAATAAAGATGCTTATCAGTGGTAGTGTAAATTGGCTTTTGTGTGCCATGCTGCTGCCCTGTCAGCATTATTAATGGCTCAGAATTGGGCAGCAGCACTGCCTTGCAGTTTCCAGGAAAGCTTGGAAGCTCAGGTGCAGAAGGGACCAGCTTTATAACCTTTTTGAGGGGTAATGAACACAATAATGATATTTTATTTGCCTGTCAGAAGGAATTGCTTGCCCAGGGTGAGTGGTCAAGTATAATTTGCCGTGGTTGCAGTTGTGCTACTTTAGACACTTGGAAGTGTAGTTTCCTATTAGTATTCCACTTAAATGATTAGGCCAGGGCTATAGGAATTTAATAGTTTTGTAAATCTCCCTGTTTACTTCTGTTTTCCCAGATAAAGAGCTCTTGGGTGAGACCATATCAAACTGCTGCCTTGTCCCTAAATTTATTAGCCATGAAATTAGGCTGTCCTGGATGCTGGAACATTTGTGCTCAGATCCATGTGCAGCTCACAAAGGCAGCTCCTGCTATTCCAACAAATAAAGCCAAACCTTCCAGCTCCTTTTTTCACCTCGGAATGAATCATAACACCATGAGTTTGTTCAGAGGCTTTGGGTACCTTTCCAGTGCTAGTGCTGAGCTCGTTTGTTAACCAAATGTCAGCTTCAGGCTTGCTGGTTTTTTTTAAAAATCAAGGAAAATCAGCGTTTTTTGGGCTTTAGGAGCCTCTGGCTGCACTTGTGGATGGGCCCCGGGGTGGCTTGGGATCACACAGCAGCAGGGATGGAAGTTGAGGATCTTTTTGCCTTGCCGTGAACCAGCCTGGTTCGAGGGATGAGTCCAGCATCACTCCGTGTTTCTAGGAACAGGATGGATCATGTTTATTTGGAAAAGAAGCCCTGCTTGGCTCAGAGACGAGGATTGGAGCAGGTTGTTTTCTCTTGAGCCTTTGTGAGCGAAAATTAAATCTGTATTTCTTTGATCCTGAATTGCCTCTTCTTGATAGAGAATTAACAGCCTAAAGCTGCTGTTTGTTCATCAGGTCAGGCTTAGTTCTGTGGGCTTGGATTTTAAATCTGCCTGATGAAGAGCTTTCCCTGCCTCAGTAAGGATTTAGTTTTGAGACGCAACAGAACAGTGAAGTTCTAACTGTCTACTATTGTTCAAATCCTCTGTGTGAAGAAAGTATTAATTAAAGAGCTTTCTGTGCCACGTGTCTCTCCAAAAAAAAAGCCCTCTCGGATGGGATTGACAGTGCTGACTGGGGGTTGTTGTGTTTTGTGTTTGTCCCCAGGACATCGACATTAAGAAGGTGAACGGGGTCCCTCAGTACGCCTTCCTGCAGTACTGTGACATTGCCAGTGTGTGCAAAGCCATTAAGAAGATGGATGGGGAATATCTTGGAAATAACCGGCTCAAGGTAAAGAAATCCTCCCCTGGACTGTATCCTTGTTCCTTCCGTTCACGGCATCGCTCGGCAGCAGCAGAGTTGGTGGGAGCAGGATGGTTTTTAATGTGAGATCAGATCAGAGCGTGAGGCTTCCAACCACCACCTAATTGGGATTAATCAACATCTTTCTCAGCGCGGAGCCCTGGGATGGAGCACTCGGAGACTGGCATTCCCTGAGCCTGACGAGGCTGTGCTGGGAATCCTTCCTGCTCCCCGCCGCAGACGGAGCCTGTGGGGCCCCAGAGCTGTCAACCTGTCACTTCCAAGACATTCAAACCCTACAAGAACCAAATGTTGTCAAACACTGCGTTTGTTTAAACATGCAGAATTATTTTCATTAATTGCTCTTTGATTTTTGTCTCGCACCTGCGCGAGACGCTAATTTTATAAAATCCATACAAACAACAGCTTTCTCCAAATAGCTCTTTAATTAGGGCAGGCTCTGCTCGGGGAGTTTAACCCTTGTACTGATGGAAGTTTTGCCCTCTTGTGTCCAGCTGGGGTTTGGGAAGAGCATGCCTACGAACTGCGTGTGGTTGGACGGGCTCTCCACCAACGTGACGGATCAGTACCTGACCCGACACTTCTGCCGATACGGGCCCGTGGTGAAGGTACGTGCCAGGCTGCGCCGTGTGCTCTGGCCCTGTTACTGTCTTCCTTTCTTCCCATCCTGTCCTTTCAACCCCCACTGTCCAGGGCTTTCTAGCTCAGGTAGAAAAATTCTCTCTGGGGTGGAATTTGGCTGACGTAGAGCAGTCGCTTCTGGGGTTTGAAGGCAACCAAAAATAAGTATTTTGAACGAGCCGAGACACTAAATATTGGAAACCATTTGTTGCTCTTGTGCAGTACAGTCTCTCCCCAACAAAATTTTTTATATGTTAGTTGGAACAGCAGTCTAATTATGTAGTTGCTCATACTTGCTGATTACATAATTAGACATAACTCTGTTTTTTTTTCATCGGACCAAAAAAATGACTTTTTAAAAGCAGTTCTACAGCCTGGAAAAATTACTTTTTAAAAACAGTTCATCACACCAAGGAAAATGACTTTTTAAAAGCAGTCAGGACAGACATGTTGGAAAGAGCACATGAAAGAAGAGAGGAAGTCAGCGATGGTGCAACGCGTGGCCCGCTGGGGACAGTGCAAGTGATTTATCACGTACTTAAACTTGAGCCTGGGAGTTGTCCCGTGTATTTTTATTGGACATGGATGTGCTTAAAATTAAGCAACGTGTGTGAATCTTCTCAAGGTCAAGGTCTTGCCTCCCCAAAGAATTTTTGTGGGTTTGTGTTGCAGCTTTGACTTTCTTTATTGTAGCTGTTGTCGCTTGAATGATAAATTTATGCTGCTAAAGGAAGGGAATATTTGGAAATTGGGTATTTAGGAAGTGGCAAGTGGTACTGCAGACTAATGAAAAAACTGGTTCCACTTCGGGATTAAATGTTCCCTTTACCTTTTTTCCCCCCTAAAACACATCGAGAATTTTTCAAAAAAAATCTGAAAATATACAAAGAGAAACTACAAAACTCAGTCACTAAAGAAAAAGCATTAAAAGTAAAACACAGAAAAACAAAATAAAGGCATAATATACCTCAAGCCACAATATCCACAATTCAAAGCAGTCCCGTGTCCTTCGATTGTCTCTTCATTCCAATATGCCTCATCAGAAAAGCCTGGAAATTCACCTTGCTAAAAATTATTTCCTCCCTGGTATCCTCATGACTTAGGATTTTGTTGGGACTGACATTAAGTCCTGTGGATGAGGCTCTTATTTGGTTTTTGTTTTGTTTTTTTGTTTTTTACAGGTGGTGTTTGACCGCTTAAAAGGCATGGCCCTGGTTCTCTACAATGAGATTGAATATGCACAAGCAGCTGTAAAAGAGACCAAGGGGAGGAAAATCGGTGGGAATAAAATTAAGGTGTGCAGAATGACCTCCAAAGCAAAGCAAAAGAGGCAAAAAAAAAAAAGAGAAGCAGATTGTATTTAGGCCTCCCCCCGTAAACACTGGCATTGCAGACTCGAGGAATTCTTAGCGGGACACGTGTCCCAGATACCAAAGGCTTAAATTATATTTTATACTCGGCTTATCAAGATGTCAGGGAATCTTGAAGTGTCGTTTATAGAGCCTTTTCCAGTATTCTACCATTCGTTTCACTGAACTTGTCTCTCTGAGCTCCTGAGTGTTGGTGTCTGTGTCCCTGCCTCGTTTACCCCAATCCAAGGCAAACTTTTGGCTGTTTTTGTGTTAAAAAAGGGGGATCTGAGAGTGTGAGTTCCTCCAGGATAACATGTGGCTGCATTCCAGCGGCTCCGTGCTGATCTCCAGGCTCTGGACCTGGCCAAGGTGATTTGCACACTGTGGTCGTGGGGTACAGCAACCCAAACTTGCAGTTGTGGCACAGTTTGGGTTGGAAGGGACCTCAAAGATCATCTTGTCCTTCCTTGCAACAGATTTTTAAAAATAACTAAAAACACCGCTTAAAAAATACACAGAAAATACTTTTTTTCCTGGAGCAACAGTTGACATTTGCAGGGATATCTTGGATTTGGGTGAACATGGTGATACCTGTTCCAACTGTCCCATCAGTGCCACTAACTGGGGATGGGAGGTGTCAGCCAACCCTCTTAGTTACCTTCCTCCTCCTCCTTTCTCCTCTCCTAAAGAGTGGCACTGATGTCACACATGATCTCAGTTATTAAATCCACACTTCACCCAGGGCTGGGAGTTGGATATCCTGGAGTTCCTAAGCCTGGGGGTTGGATATCAGTCACTTTGAGATGCAGGAAAATGTGTGGTCAGTTAAAAGTTTCATGCCTTGTGTGGGTCTTGCTGCTTAATGACTTTGGAATAAGCAACACCCAACATGTCTGGGCTCCACTGCTGGGGTGACACACAGGATTGGGCTGATTTAAAAAGTAATAGGAACTAGAATGTTAAAAACATTGCAGTATAGGACATACACATAGTTAAATCCGTTCTAATCCTTAATTTTTTGCATTACCTATCCCATTAGCTTCTTAATATTGTCGTCCTTGGTTATAAACCACCAGTTCTTGGAGTAGCTGGAACAGGGAGCTGCAGTTCAGGAGACTTGCTCTGTTCCCTGCTCTTATAACCCTGGAAAACCACTGTGGAGTCTGGAATAGATTCGTAATTCTGACCTGCTGCAGCAGTGCCTGGAGATAAAAGGGACTTTGGAACTGTCCTGGCATTAAAAACGTCAATACCACGATAATAATGTGTATTTTTCCTGCTGCTTTGCTGAGCAGAAGCCTCTGTGCTGGCAGCCACAACAACAGAGTAAGGAGGTGGTTACACAGCTCCACTGGGCTGAAAGAGATCTTTATTCCTGGGGATGTGCAGGGCCAGAACTGAGAAGTCTTTGACTTTTTTCTTAAATATTACCCCCATTTTCAGTTCTGCTCCCACCCTCAGCCTACAGCAGGCAGGGAAATGTTGGCAGAATGGGATGTTCCTTTGACTGAACGTGGTTTCCCCCTTTATTTTTCAGGTGGACTTTGCAAATCGGGAGAGCCAGCTGGCATTTTATCATTCCATGGAGAAAACGGGTCAAGATATCAGAGACTTCTACGAAATGCTGGCAGAAAGGAGGCACGTATCAGTATCTTTATTAATTTTTTTTATTTTTCCAGCATCATTTTACACAATCTTCTTACAATCATCATCAAACATCTTTTTACTTCTTCAGGCCATAATTCTTAAACAAGCACTCATTTTTGCTCCTTTAGCCTTATTTTTTTAAGTTTTCCTAACAGCAGTTCAGCATTTTTTAAATGTTTTTTTACCTTTTCACTGTTTTTTTAAAAGAAATTTAGGTCGGCCTAAGCTGGGCAGATTAAGGCAGGCAGGATCTCACACATCCAAGTGTAGCTGGTTACTGGAATTCCTGCTGAGGTGGAGGTTTCAGCTGTCTGTGTGATCCATATTTTAGTGTCCAGTTTCTGTGGTGGGTCACCAGGACACAGCTGGGAGTCGTTCATCACGTCTGAGGAATGCAGAGAGCAGCTTATCTCTAACAGAGCAACGTGTGTGTTGGTGGGTGTAAATATAGTCTGATAAACTCCTGCTGCTCAGCCCTCGAGCACAGAGAAAAATCTGATCCTCCACCTCCCCCTTTCCAGCAGATTAATTTGTTAACTTGAGAAAAGAAGCAAATAGGAGCAAGGCTGCATTTTTGGTTTGTTTTTTGACATGAAAGGTGTGTCCTGTGTTGCTACCCCTCGGCAGCAGCTGGAACCACAATGCACATCCTGCTCACCTTACCCCTGCAGACCTGGCACAGAAACACTCCACATTTTAGGCTTTTTTCCTCCAGTGTGGTGCCGGTTGTACCTGAGAGCTGGATAACTCTTGTTTTGCAGCAAAATAGATCGGTGTGACATAGTGCAAAATGACCAGATTTAAAAGCAAGAAAGGGTTGGAAATTTGGGATTTGCATAACAGAAATACAAGTGTGCCTTTCCCAGGCCTTGCCAGATGTGCCAGCAGTGAGCGTGTCCTCAGAACTACGTGGAATTCAGACAAGAGAAGCGTGTTATTGGATGGTTTTTAGCATGCAGGAGTCAGGTGGGCTTGTCATAATCCCTAGCAGAATGTTGATTTCTGGTGTTTGGGTGCACGTTAGTCTGGTTTTTCCTTTTCTGTCACTCTGCTCACACGGTCACTACGAGATCCTTGGGAATACAGAGTGAGCTCTGCAGTGACTCCTGTAATTCTGCAGCTTCTGGTGCCCCTCCAAGCTCCTCCTTGCAGTGATGCTGGGATCTGCACAAACCTCTCAGGGTTGTGGTTAAATAAGACCCAAACGGAGAAAAAAGCATGAAAGACCAAAGAAAATCCCTGATTAATGTTTTTAGCTTCACAGCTGCCTTCCACAACATCCCACTTCTCTTGCAGGGTGAGGTTTTTTTCCTCCGTGTTTTGTTTCTTTTTCTATTTTGTACGTTTCTTAAAAGGTGGAAGCTGCCAGCTTTTAACATAAAACATAAACTGTGAAGCCAAATATGTGGAATCACAGAATTACAGCATAATTAAGGTTGGAAAAGACCTTCAAGATCATCAAGTCCAAGCTGTGCCCCATCCCTACCTTGTCCCCAGCCCAGAGCACTGAGTGCCACATCCAGTCATTACTTGGACACCTCCGGGGGGAGGGACTCCACCACCTCCCTGGGCAGCCCCTGCCAATGTTTAATCCCCCTTTCCATGAAGAAATTCCTCCTGATGTCCAACCTGAGCCTCCTCTGGCACAGCTGGAGCCCGTTTCCTCTTATCCTGCCACTCATTGCCTGGGAGCAGAGCCCAACCCCCCCAGGTGCAAAACACTCTGTAATGGTGGGGGTTTGGAGCTCCAGCTTTGTGCCACCTCCCTGCCATGTTTAGTGTTATAAATGACTTATTTTTGCCCTTTGGAGGTATTGAGATAACGACATTAATTGCTTGACTTACTTTGCTGAATGAATTCACCTGATCTCATAAACAACCTGATATTTGTTGACTTGGGTTTACTGTAAATAGGCAATGCCAGCAAGTCACATGCAGCACAAGAGCTAATTTTGGAATTAAGGGATCACTTACAGGGCTTAGGGTTTTTAAAGAAATCTTACTGCCACTTTACTGCTTAATAACAGAGAGATTCCACCCTTGAATTTTGATTTGCCTCATGTTTTCAGAGGTAGATCTCGGGTTCTGAAAATGGGGTGTCTTCACCCTGCCCAGCCCATGCATGGGTCGGTTTTACCTTCATTTCATGCAAGGGTTGAATTTGACAAAAATGAAGGGTGGTGAAACAATACTTGAGAGAGCTGTTATGAAATGACCAATTAACTGCATTTGGTGTTTGATAAGTTAACAAAGTTTTTAGTCCACTGCACAGGAGAGGATGGACAAGGAGAAGTGGTTGGTGAGGAAGGGAGAACTGGAAAAAATAGAAAAGGAGGAAACCAATTCATTGTTAAATCTCTGTGTGCAGCTGCCTTGATGCACCTAGGAAAAAAGATCCTGAAATTCCCTTACATGTGGCTGTGACACTTGAGGACGTGGTTTGATGGTGAACGTGGTGGTAGTGCTGGTGGGTTGACAGTTGGACTTGGTGATCTTAAAGCTCTTTTCCAACCTTAATGATTCCATGATCTTTAAGGTTCCTTCCAACCCAAACCATTCTCTCACCTAGGAAGGATGGTGGTAACACAGCATGTTGGCTGAGGAGGAGAACTAGAATCTGTTTATTTTTATGTTTAGCAGAGACGAACGAAGAGGATCCTACGAATACGCCCCTGATCGTACTTACTACGAGACTGTTCGGACCCCGGGGACATACCCCGAAGATCCTCGGCGAGAATACCCGGCCCGGGGCAGGGAATTCTACGCCGAGTGGGATCCCTACCAAGCAGACTACTACGACCCACGATACTATGACGACCCGCGCGAGTACAGGGATTACCGGGGCGATCCCTATGAGCAGGACATCCGGGAGTACAGTTACAGGCAACGGGAGAGAGAGAGGGAGAGGGAACGGTTCGAATCCGATCGAGACAGAGACCATGAGCGGAGACCAATTGAGCGGAGCCAGAGCCCGACGCACTCGCGGCGCCCGCAGAGCCCTGGAGCGTCCCCCTCGCAGTCGGAGCGGCTGCAGAGCGACTCAGAGAGGAGGATTTACAGCAGGTCATCGGATCGCAGCGGCAGCTGCAGCTCCCTGTCCCCTCCACGCTACGACAAGCTCGACAAGGCCCGCGTGGAACGGTACGCAAAAAACGAGAAGGCGGAGAAGGAGCGCGTGTTCGAGCAGGAGAGGGTGGACAAGGAGAAGCGCTTGGTGAGGAAGGAGAAGCCGGAAAAAATTGAAAAGGAGAAAATGGATAAGCAAAAACGAAAAGCGAAAATCCATTCACCCAGCTCCCAGTCCTCGGAAACAGATCAGGAGAATGAGAGAGAACCTAGCCCAGAAAAACTGAAGGGCAACAGTAAACAAAGCAAAGAGAGGGGTGACAAAGAAGGGACAGCGAAAAACCGCCTGGAACTGATGCCCTGCGTTGTGCTGACCCGCGTGAAGGAAAAGGAAGGGAAGGTTATCGATCAGCCCACACTGGAGAAACTGAGAGCAAAGCTTGATAATGACACTCTGAAATCCCCACTGCTCGAACAGAAAACCCAGACATCCCAGGCTGAGCAAGCCAAGTCTGAGCAGTCTAAACTGGAACCTGTCAGAACCAAGGTACAGAAGGAGAAAGCCCTTGCCAGTCACATCGAAGTGGTGGATAAGGAGGGAAAAATGAAATCCAAAAAGCACTTGAAGACAGAGCAAACTTCTGAGGGGGCCAACACAGTTGATTTAGACAAGCTGGAGGCTCGTAAAAGGCGTTTTGCCGATGCAAATCCGAAGCCTGACAGGCAAAAGCTGGATGTCAAAAGGAGCAGCCAGGATGAGGAGGATGCACGCATGGTCTTGAAAAAGCAGCTTGATGCGACGGCATCGTCCAGAGAAGCACCGATGTTAAGGGAAGGAGAGTTGGAGAGGAAACCGCCGAGGAAGGAGATGATTAAAAGGGAATCTAAAAAGCTCAAACTGGAAAGACTTATTCCTGTTACTAGTCCCAAAGAAATTCAGGACACTCTTAATGTCGGTGGGATTGGTATGCGTCCCACCCTGGATATGCAGACGAGGCTGATGGAGGCACCTGATGAATCCGTGGAAGTTCAGGAACTCCCGTCTAAAAAACTGAACCCAATGAAACCCCAACATAAACAGGTCCAATTGCTGGACGAGCAGGGAACGGAGAGAGAGGACACAAGGAAGAATTACTCCGGTCTTCCCGAAGAAACACCAGACCATAAACTTGGCCAAGAGAAACCTCAGTCAACTGACACGGAGGAGAAAATCGGCATCGACATTGACCACACGCAGAGCTACCGGAAGCAAATGGAGCAAAGCCGCAGGTTGAAACAACAGCTGGAAATGGAGATCGCGAAGTCGGAGAAGTTCGGCAGCCCAAAGAAAGATGTGGATGAATATGAAAGGCGGAGCCTGGTCCACGAGGTAGGAAAACCTCCTCAAGACGTCACTGATGACTCTCCACCGAGTAAAAAGAAAAAGACTGACCAGTTCGACTTTGAAATTAGCACTAAAAGAGAAAGGAACTACAGAAGTTCTCGTCAGGTGAGTGAGGACTCAGAAAGGATGTCCTGTTCCCCGAGCATCAGACACTTCCCGTTCCATGAGGATGATGACACACTCGATTCTCCAAGGCTAATGCCATTAAAGGAAACCAAAGAGTCACCTAAAATAGAAGAAAAGGGTCTTTCATACTCAAACATGACTGTGAGGGAGGACTCGCTGAAATTCAATCCTTACGATTCCAGCAGAAGGGAGCAGATGGCAGAAATGGCTAAAATAAAACTCTCCGTGATGAGTTCTGAGGAAGACTCAAGCAGGTGGGAAACCCAGGTGAAGCAGGAGCCTGGGAGAGTCGACATCAGCTTTCCAAGCAGCATCGTCAAAAGAGACAGCATCCGGAAACGGTCTGTCCGGGACCTGGAGCCTGGGGAGGTGCCTTCGGATTCAGATGACGATGGAGAAAACAAACCCCATTCCCCGAAAGCCTCGTCCTTGTTAGAGAGTTCCAGGTTGTCTTTTTTATTAAGGGACAGAGAGGAAAAGTTACGTGAAAGAGAGGAAAGACTGTCCAGTTCCTTAGAAAGAAACAAATTTTACTCTTTTGCATTGGACAAGACAATCACACCAGACACAAAGGCCTTGCTCGAAAGAGCTAAATCCCTCTCTTCATCCAGAGAGGAAAACTGGTCCTTTCTAGACTGGGATTCAAGGTTTGCTAGTTTTAGAAACAATAAAGACAAAGAGAAGGTTGACTCGGCTCCGAGACCTATTCCATCTTGGTACATGAAAAAGAAAAAAATCAGAACAGATTCCGAAGGCGGAAAACTGGATGATAAGAAAGAAGATCATAAAGAGGAAGAACAAGAGCGGCAGGAACTGTTCGCGTCTCGGTTTTTGCACAGTTCAATCTTTGAGCAGGACTCCAAGCGCCTGCAGCATTTAGAGAGGAAAGATGATGATCTGGACTTCATCTCTGGAAGGTTGTATGGGAGACAGTCCTCCTCCGACGGGACGAACAGCGCGGCCGATTTGGTGCAAGAGCCGGTGGTTCTCTTCCACAGCAGGTTTGTCGAGCTGACACGAATGCAGCAGAAAGAAAAGGAGAAAGATCAGAAACCAAAGGAAGTGGAAAAACAGGAAGATAAAGAAAACTGTCCAAAAACACCAGAAACGGTTCCTGATAGTAAAGAACCAGAACATAAAACTTCCTCGGTCGGTCCCTCATCGGTCACTGTGCTGCCACAGGAACCAGCTCCCATCGCTCCTGAGAAGGTAGCGAGCGAAAAGGTCCTGGTGGAACCACCTTCTGTCAAAGAAGAGAAACCTTCTGAACCTGTTGCTGCAGCAGAGGAACAAAAACCTTTTCCTGAACTCGCTGCTCCTGTCAAAACAGAACCTCCTGAGCAAACGGAACCTCCGCCGGTTGTAGAAGCGAGTAAAGAAGTTGTTGCTACGACCCTGGCACCAGAGGAAGATGCTGTGGCAACAGAGCATCCTTCATACTTGGATACCAAACCTCCTACTCCTGGGGCTTCATTTTCCGATGCAGATATCAGTGTAGATCCAGAACCTGAGGCTGCCCAGCTGCTTCCTCCTGTGCCCAAGCTGGTTCAGAAGTCGGATGAGGCTGCTGAACCTAAAGAGGAAAATCCTCCACCTTCTGCCAACGCTGATGCTGGCGTGAGTCAAAAAGTGGAGGTAGCTGCTGAGGTCCTGCCACCTGTTTCTGACAATGATATGGAAGTGGAACCTCCAGTGGTTGTAAAAGATAAGAAATCCTACAAGAGTAAACGCTCCAAGACACCCGTGCAGTCGGCTGCAGCCAGTGTCACGGAAAAACCCGTCACGAGGAAGAGCGAAAGAATTGACCGTGAAAAGCTGAAAAGGTCGAGCTCTCCTCGTGGGGAGACCCAGAAGCTGTCTGAATTGAAAGTGGAGGCGGAGAAGGTTTCGAGGAATGCTGCTAAATCCCCGAGTTCTGCTGCAGAGCCGGAAAACGTGGAGCCAAGCCTGCCGATAGGCCGGACCAGGCGCAGAAATGTGAGGTCAGTCTATGCTACCACAGGGGACAATGAAGGCCCATCTCCAGTGAAGGACTCCATGGAGGTCACTAGATCCACCAGGAAGAGAGGGGAAAAGGAACCACAGGAAACAGTAACAACTGTTCCCACGACCCCGAGGAGGGGAAGACCTCCGAAAACCCGCCGTAAGCCGGAGGAGGACATTTCTCCAATAAAGACTGAACCGGTACAGCAAGAGGTGGAGGAGGCTGAAAGTAAAGATACCGTGGAAGCTCCTAAGCCTGTAGAGGGTTGGAGGTCCCCTAGATCCCAGAAGCTCACACACAGTCACCCATCAGCTGCTACCAGCCAACAGGGGAAGAAAGGGAAGAATGAACCGAAAGCCGATACCACAGCTGAGTCTGAAGATGCTGCTGCTGAAAGAAGCAGTCAGGAATTGAGCATGGGAGACAACAGCAATAAAGCTAAAGCTGCTGAGAAAGAGCCAGCAGCAAGCGAGCAGAAACGGGATCGGAAAGAACTGGATGTGGAGAAAAACCAGCTCGAAATCCCCACAGTTGAGATCATTGAGAAGAAGCCAGTGCCAGAAAAGGTTACGAAATCCAAAAGGGGAAGGTACAAAAATACCAAAACTGTCGTCGATAAAGCATCTGTGTGTCTGAAAAACGTGGAAATACGCCTGAATGTGGACGAAGTCAAGGGCGCCTTGCGACCCACTGAGGAGGAGGCAGAGCCGGTGGCAGTGTCGCCGCCCAAGATGAAGAGTCCCCCAAAAGAGGACATCTTGCCACCCCACTTCGCTAAGAATGAGGTAGAAGATTCATTCCCAGAAATGGAGAAGGAGGTGACACGGGAGCCCAAGCAGTCCCCCGAAGCCGCCCAGTTGGCAAAGCAGATTGAGCTTGAGCAGGCGGTGGAGAATATTGCAAAACTCACTGAAACTCCTCCAACGATTGCTGCCTACAAAGAGCCGACAGCAGATGTGCCTGAAGTCCGTCAGGAGGAGGAGGCAGATAAACCCGCGCACCAGGCGAGTGAAACAGAGCTGGCAGCGGCCATCGGCTCCATCATCAATGACATTTCTGGGGAGACTGAAAGCTTCCCTGCACCCCCGACATATCCCACTGAATCAGAAACCGAAATCCCCACAGAGCCCTTGGTGTTACCGTCGCCTCGGGAGGAGATGGAGCCTGAGACGGATCAGGCAGTGAACAATATCCTGGAAACTGAGGCGGCCGTCGAGCCTGCAGTGCAGTCGGTGCCCGGCTCTGTCCCGTTGGAGACAGAGAGCAAGGAGTCCGAAGTCAGCTTCAGCGAATCTTCCAACTCCGCTCAGGAGGCCGAGACCTTGCAGGAGGCTGAAGTTGCTCGGAAGGAAAAGGGCCGTCAGAAAACCTCACGGCAGAGACGCAAGAAGAGCACGAGCAGGAAGGGCGATGCCACCGAGGTCAATGCCTTTGAGCCGGAGAGGGTGCAGAGCAGGTCACCCCCTGCCAACGAGGTAAAGGCAAAACCTGAGGAAGTCTCAAAGGAGGAGAAACAAATTAAACCCTCAGCATCTGTGGAGCCAAGCGCTTCTGACCCCACCAAGGCTGTGGCCGCTGACGTTGTGGCTGCCCATGAGGCTGTCGCTGAGAGCAGCACCTCTCCAAAAGCACCCGCTCCCGCTCCTCTGGACCTGGGCAGCCCACCGGTTCCCCTAGATGAGGGGAGTCAGAGCGGGTTCAAGAT